AAAAAAAACTGGCTCTGGCATTAGCTAAATATAACTATTCAAATACAGTTTAAGAAGTATCAAAAAACTCTTTTAAAAAACCCCAGTAGCAGCAAAAGTATCAAACGTTTGTAAACAAAACCACTAGTAACAACCTTATGCTTAATAACAAAGAATCTGCATTCTTTTAAAACATGAAAGTATATATAATAAAGAGAATATTGTCCATCTTTTTTCTTAATATACAATACCTGATACCTAAAACAAGGTTACCAATAGCAGACACAAATTGTGTTATCATAAGGCATGTTGAACAGTCTTTTCCCCACTGCTCAGGGGCATCAAGTCGCCGCAGAGGGCAAACTTTCCAAAAGGCTTCTCCTGGCTGAGATCCTTGCACACCGGGGGCACTGGGAGGACTGGAAGCACCGCTTGTGAAAGCAAGCCCTGCACGCTGCAAGCAAGGAGGGTGGCCATTAGCAAATGGGCTATCTTGTTTTCTCACATACGTGCAGACGCTCATCCCATCCTAGGGAGGGAGGGGTTCGAATCCAGAACATAGAGTCTTCTAGAAAGAAATCAGCCAAATTGAAACTCCCAGGGATTATAGCTGTCCCAAGAGGTCATCAACATGAGGCTCAGAGAGCCTGATGTAGTGGACCCTGCAGTGCCCTCCGGATCTGCCCAAGCACTGAGGCACGAGTTCCCCCAGCCCGAGAGAGGTGGTGGCTGATGGCTCTTGGGAAGCAGCATAGCTCCTCTAGAAATGGCCCTAAATGGAGAGAGCTGCCTCATCCGAGGTCATGGCCCCTTCCTGCCACCAGAAGGCATCCAGTGACTGGTCACTGTGGAGTTTAAAGGCCTGGCTGGCCCTCTATCCCCAGTTTGGAACAATGCTGAAAGGTCACCCATTTGCAGAGCTCCCCATGAAATGGGCTGAGGGCTCCACTGCGACCACATGATGGTTCCACTTCTCCCTCCGCCCAGCACTGCTGCCTTCACACCCCCACAGGTATTGAGCTGGAGAACATGCAACTTTCTGCATACAAATCCCTGCCTTAGATCTCCTTCCTGGGGAAGCCATCCTGCAACACTGCCTAAAGGGTCAGGGGAGACAACACTAGAGTGGCCTAAGAAGGGGACCTGCCCATATCAAGGATGAAGGCAGAGTTCATTACCAGGATCTCTCCCATGAAACAGGGTTTAGAAATCATGGGATTCCCTTGGGCACTAATCCTGTAGAACAAGAGTCAGCAACCTTTTCTGTAAAGAGTCAGACGGTAAATGTTTTAGACCTTGTGGGCCATATGGTCTCTATGACAGCCACTCAACTCTGCCACTGCAGTGCAAAAGCAGCCAGAGACAACACTTCAACGTTGGACATGGATTGCTCCAATTACAAAACAGGGGCAGGCATAGGCAACAAAGGCACTGTCTCCTCTATCCAAACCCTGTACCAGGAGACATAATCCTTCATCCTTGCCCCCACCCAAATACTCCTCCTTCTGTGCCCAAAACTTTTTTATCACCAATCCAACATACAAGCACATACCAGCATCATTGTACTTTAAAAAAACAACTGTACTTAAGTTATTAAGCTATTATTCAGCTTAAGCTAATTTTTTGCTTAAGTTATTAAACTTAAATTAACTTTGCATTTAAGTTGTTAAGCTATTATTATGTTATTAAGTTACTAAGCTACCTGAACATCTTCTACATGTTGTCGTCTGAAATGGGAAGATGACAGTCGTATTCCGGCAAAATTCACAAATAAAGCCCTTTCCTTGACACAACTGTAAAAGAAGGCATCAAAAAGTGACAGTCCTCATTGGTAATTCTCTTGATAGAGAAGCTGTTATCACTTTTATAGAACATTTTAAGCATCAATTTTTGAGTGTCTGTGATCCTAGCCTCTAGCAGGAAAAAGACACTGTGTTTTGCAGCAATGAATGGATCAAAACAAAAATAATGCACATTCATCCATTTCACATTAAGGCAGTTTTAAATTGCCAGAGAAAGATCATAATTTTAAACGGGTGTTCTTAAATGATCTAATTTCATTTCTGTTTGCTGCACTAGAATTCTTCAGTCCGTGTAGACACAGAGCTTCCTGTTCCCTCAGCTCCTGAGTCCACATGGCTATATTTGGCACATCAGGGCAGAGTGGGCCCCAAGCCAGGCTGGGCATCCCAACTTAGAAGTCACTTGGCCCAGACTCACATTCCAGCTCGGCTCTGCCCCGTACTTCACAGTTCTGAACCTCAGTTTTCTCATCTGCAAACAGTGTCACCAGCACTGACCTCGGGGTTTGAGAGAGTTAAATAGGGTCAGGTGCAGACCACTCAGAATAGGCCCTGGTGAATAAAGGACAGCTCAGGGATTGCTCCAGGCGAACCCTCACCTCACAGCCGGCCACATGCCCAAGCGAAGCTTTCAGAATGTTCTTGAGGGTGGGTGCCAGCAGCCCCTTCTTGATCCTGACCAGGTCCTCCAGGGAGAACAGGTGGAGCTCATCAGTCAGGTGTCTCGGCACCTGCTCAAATTCCTTTAATGCACTGCCAGAGAGGGAAAATGGAGGAATTCGGAAACCTACCCACAAAGAGGCTGGGAAGAACGGAACCAGTTGTTTCTGTTCAGCACTCACACTTAATTTTTTAAACACAATTTTTAAAAACTAGCCCCAAGAACAACAGTGAACTTTGCTCGCCACCACTCTATATTTTGCAAGTTTGCTTGGAAGCTAGAAAGTTAAAATTCCATAAAAGCTGATTTCGAAGAGCTGATGAGCAGAGAAATGCCTCTCTTGCAGCCTGCCGCACGCACACATGGAGCAAATGAAAACTGAATATTTGTTTTCCAAGTCTTAAAAATGTGCACTGTCTGATACCTGAGTAATCAAAATTACTACCTTATTCATTCCAGCTAAATTTCAAGTCTGTCGGCATCACTGACTGCTGTCTCAGCTGGCAGGAGAATGACTGTTCACAGGCAGGCATGTGACTCCCAAATCCACGAGTCCAATGCTGAGTTTAAGACTCAGGCATCCAATTGCAGGCACTCACGGTCACTTAGATGTCCCGAGGGCATTCAAAACGGAATTTAATCCTCTCCAAACCCACCTGGTCTCCTCTTGAATTACCTAACTTGGCCAGTGGCACCATCATTCACGGCCTACCCTGGACTTGGCATGCCACGAATGCCAAACTGGCTTTACTTCTCCACCCAGCTGAGATGCTCCCCATGCTGCGTCCTCTGCCCAGAGGGTCCCCAATCCTCAAGCTCAGGCTTCATCTCTGAGCCTTGCCTGCTCTCTACTGCACCCCACCCCTAACTAAGCTAAATGCCACCCCCTCTCTCTCCTCACGGCACCTTGCACAGGTCTCTGACACACACAGTGGGGCAATGATCTGTTTGTGTTGACTTTCCCCCTGGATTTAACACAGATATACTAATTTCTTATCTAAAGCACAGAATGGGTATTCCAGAATTTTTTTGTAGAGGGAGGAAATGTAGGTATTGTTACACATCACAAATAAAGAGAACTGCGGCCCTGAGACCAATGCCACTCCAGTGTCACGAGGTGGAGGCTCAAGGCCAAATGACTAGAGAATGCATGCTCCTTCCTAAGAAATTTAATTAAAGAGCAATACATCATCATTAAAGATCAGAAATGGAAAAATGCTTTAAAACAAAACAAAATTTTTAAGAAAATCCCTATGATCTCATCTATTATAACAAATAACCTTAACTCCCTTGAGTAACCTACTCTTTTCCCACTTAAAAATCACTCTCAATGAATTCATGCCTAAACCTTTATTGGCTGTATGGTATTCTATATTATGGATGTGGTATTAAGTATTGTCCTATTATTGAATACCTAGTGGATTTGTAATATCTTTTCTTAATAAAAAAAAAAACCTATACTTTAACTAAATTTCTGCCCATATCCATAGGTATGTCCTTAGGCTAAACTTCTAAAAGTAGAATTTCTAGAGATTATGGTCTCACCTACTTTGACATGTCTCTCTATAAGGGGTTTTAAAGGGCCACTGGTCCACCCATGTTCATAGCAGCATTATTCACAATAGTTAAGGAGTGGAAGCGACCCAAGCGTCCACTGACGAATGGACGGATAAACAAAATGTGGTATATGCATACAATGGTATATTATTCAGCCTTAAAAAAGAACATTCTGACACATGCTACGACATGGGTGAACCTTGAAGATGTTATGCTAAGCGAGATAAGCCAGTCATAAAAAGACAAATGCTATACGATTCCACTTATATGAGGTATGTGAGTAATCCACATCATAAGGACAGAAAGTAGAATGGTGGCTGCCAGTGGCTGGGAGAGGGGGACATGGGCAACTGTTTAATGGTACAGAGTTTCAGTTTTTCAAGATGAAAAGAGCTCAGGAACTGGATGGTGGTGATAGTAGAACAACAGTGTGAATGTACTTAATGCCACCAAACTGTCCACTTAAAATGGTTAATTTCATGTTTTGTGTATTTACAATTTAATACTAATAATAATAAAAAGGCCACTGGCTAGGGTTATTTCATCCTGTACTGGCCCATTCTCCTAAACGAGTTAAATGCTCCACTAGTGATTTAAAGGGTTTCGTGATTTTAAAGAAATGGTCTGCATTCCCAAGGACAGCCAAGAGGCCCTATGGGAGCTGGGAGCAGAGGCTCAGAGGATCCGCAGAGGTGTGGAGGGACAGCAGACTGTCCCAGCCGAGAACAGTACCTGGCAGCAAACCTGCAGGTCTTCAACAGCTTCTTGACGTGGAAAAGCTGCTCCTGGATTTCCTAACGTGAGAAACCAAACAAGGGTAAGAGCTAAATGTGATCAATGAAACCAGCAATGTGCAAATCAAATTTAAGTGTTGTTTCTAACCTTGAAATGCTACACCTGTAAGAAACAAACCTTTCTAGCAAACAGCCTGTACAGCAGGGGTTCATAACCAAGTCCACTGATCCATAGGGGTCCCGGATGGATCCAGGTTTTGTGGGATCTGAAGCTTACACAACTTTGGGGGCCTTCTTCAAGAAAAACACAAAGCTACGTATGAATGTAAAATTCAGTATGGGGCCTTGGAAAGAGCCTGTGCAGGTGAGGGGCCCCAAAGCTTTTTAAGCTCCATTGGCTTATGATACACCCGCCTCCTGGAAGGTCTACCTGTGGAAGCCCTGAGACTAGAGTGACGTGCATTTCCCACCGCAGGACGCTTCCAGCCAGGGCACTCGGCCTGCGGAGATGGCTGCTCACCTTCACTCTGTCCAGCTCCTTGGCTTTCCCGTAGAGGCTTTGGCTGACGCTGGGCAAATGGAAAATGGGCTGGTGCCATATGCTATCGAGCAGCTGTTTGGAGAAATTGCTCACATGGTACTTCCTGAAGTCCCACATCATCAGGATCCGGGCAGGGATGCAGGACTCCGCGTAGGAGTGGCAGCAGTGGCAGAAATATTTCCCCAGGTATTCGCAGTACCGGAGCCGCTTCACAAACTCTGCCGAGCACACCGGAGCATGAGGGCGGCGCTGGAAACCCGCCCAGGTCCGCCCCCCACCTCCAATTCCTACGCAAGACTCAAAGACTCAGATGACTTTTTTTCATGACTCAAACCATGCTCGACCCCATGAGAGCTGGGAAAACTCTGGCAGGGGCTTGGGGACTTACATCGTGCCCATTCATGAGCTTCGCCGTCATGGAACAGATGTCTAAAAAATAGAACTCTCTCAAAATACTCCTGGACTTTAAAGATGGACATCACAAGCTGCGATGCAGCTAAAAGAACATTTATTTATTAGGGTCTGGAGATCAGACGCTGCCTCTCACTGCAAGAAGGCTGAGGGCAGGTCGGAATCTTTTCAGGCGAACTCTCCTGAGACCACAAGACGCAACTCAGAGCTGGACAAAGTGATATCACACTTATGAAAAGTGCAATGTAAAGTAGCATGCATACAATGTTAGGAAATAGCATCCAAAAGAGCTTCTTGATAAATCAGAGAGAGAAAAAAAAATACAAAAATGCACAAAGGAGGGGAATAGGTAATACATGGAAAGAAGAAATTCAGATAACCAATAGGGATGTGAAGAACAATCTCAGGAACAGCCAAAGAAATGCATATTTTAAAAGTGAGATACTCTGTTTGCCTCAGGCTGTCAGAAATTTAGAAGATTCAGAGCTGGTCAAGTAGACAGAGGTGGTTTTCTAGTAACAACATTTTCATAAACTGATCAATATATAACCTTGTTTTTGATGCCTTTCTATTTAAGGACACCTGAATTAATATATTTTGTTGACTCATAACATTGAATTCAGGGCCAACAGCACTATAACTCACGCCTGAATGGAGCTGATCAGTGCACACATTTTCTCCACAAGGCAGACCCTCCTGCTCTTAGAAACAATACAGAGCACTTCAGCACCACGCGTGGGGGCCATTTTAAACGGTGAAATCACCAACAGAAATGCGAACAACATGGCACTGAATAAACCATGGACAGGTATACCCTGGCCCCTGCACTCCACATGCCTGATCAAACTTAGCAAGATGGGAAGAGAAAGGAGGACAAAAGGGGCCAACAAATTTCCCTGACAAAATTCATCTTTCACCAACAGCTAAAATCCTAACATCTCAATATCCATCCACTCATTCATCAAACTTCAGTGAATACACGCTAAGTGTTATACTCTCAATACGGAATAAGCTATGTCCATCTCTTTCAGTTTCCTAACCCGTTAATTAAAATAGAACAAAACAAAGCATTCTAAACCAGTGGTTCTTGGCCAGGGGTTATTTTGTCCCCTGAGGTACATTTGGAAATGTCTGGAGACATTTTCAGTTGTCGCCACTGTAGGGCTGCTACTGGCAGCTAGTGACGCTGCTGAACGCCCTGCAAAGCATGGGACACCCCTCCCAACAAAGTCAATGGCACTGAAGTGAAGAAATCCTGCTCTAACCCACTGTTCTGATTTTATGAAAAGCCAAAGTCATGAGGAAAAAATGAGGGAAATGTTCTAGACCACGAATGTCCAATGTTACTTTCTGTGAGGATGAGAATGTTCTATATCTGTGCTGTCTAATACAGTAACACCAGTTACATGTGGCTACTGAGTACTTGAAATATAGCTGGTATGACTGGGGAATTGAATTTTTAATTTTAATTAATTTTAATTTAATTTTAAATAGCCACATGGGCTAGTGGCTACCATATTGAGTAGTACAGTTCTAGAATAAAGCTAACTAAAGAGAAACAATAACTAAGTGCAATGTATGAAACTTGATTGGAACCTGCATGGAAAAATTAGCCATAAATGGTGCCTTGAGGACAATAAATAAAAATTAACTCGTAAACAATATTAGGGAATTGTTCATTTTTTTTTTCCTTTTGGTGTGATATCTTATCCTTATTTTGGGGACATGCTGAAGTTGTAAAAGGTAAAACGTCATGTTCAGTGTGTGTGAGACTGAGGGAAACATGACAACTAAATTCAGTGTGGAATTCTGGATTGGATTCTGGAACAGATAAAGGACATTAGTGAAAAAAAACCTGGTGAAATCCAAATAAAGCCTGGGGTTTAGTTAACAGGCCTGGACCAATGCTAATTTCTCAGATTTAATGATGATACTATTGATTACGTAAGATGTTATCATTAGAGGAAGCTGAATGAAAGATATACAGGAACTCTCTGTCCTATTTTTGCAACTCTTCTGTAAGTCTAAAATTATCTCAAAATAAAAACTTAAAAAAAAAACTTATCCTAAGAGCTAGAGGAAGTTCATAGGAAAAGCCCAAAATTATTTATATGCTGTTTACAATCTGTGCTCCACCTACCTCTGCCACATGTTGTTTACTCTCATTCTTACTCCTGAGTCACATAAGGCTTCTTTTCAATTGCCACACACCCTTTGCATATGATGAACACCCCTCTCTTTCTGGAGACAATCACATCCTTATGAAACCTCTTACTCCCAGGCCTTCGTGCACAGTTTAAGTTTCCTTGCTATAAATGCCATAGCTCCCTTGACTTTTTCTTTTGTTACATACGTCACCCTTGGTATTTACTTACTTGGCTGATGACTATGTCTTCCCTATAAGACGGTCAGCAAGATCCTTGAAGGCAGGACCACGTTTGCCAGATTCATCACTGTATCAACAGTGCAGACACACATCTCCATATTTCTTGGTTGGTTGGTTTGTTTTTAGAGACAGGGTCTTGCTCTGTTGCCCAGGCTGGAGTGCAGTGGCAAGATCACAGCTCACTGCAGCCTCAAACTCCTGGGCTCAAGAGATCCTCCTGCCTCAGCCTCACGAGTAGCTGGGACTACACCCACTATACCCGACTGATTTTTTTTACTTTTTACAGAGACCAGGTCTTGCTATATTACCCAGGCTGGTCTCAAAGTCCTGGCCTCAAGTGATCCTCCTGCCTTGACCTCCCAAAGCGCTGGGATTACAGACATGAGCCGCTGTGCCCGGCCACATCTCCATATGTGAATAAATTTAGGGAAGTACTTAAAAAGTTGGAATCATAGTCACGTTTCTCGCTCATGTGTTCAATATTTACTGAGGTAACAGGAAACAGTGGTTAACCAAACAGACATGGTCCCTGGTAGAATAACTGGGAAAATGAGTCACTTAAAGAAAATTAGTTATAACTGTAATGCCTGTCAGCATTTTCATCCAATGTGTTGTAGAGGAAGCCCAGACAGATTTCTGGTTTTTATTTTCATCTCTTGAAGTAGACAGAGCTCCTCAAAGTCTTTTTCCTTCAAGGACCATCAAAGGCCGAGGGAACTCTTTCCCTCCAAGCTCATCTTCCCAGCCTTCTGCAGGTCAGACCTATGGACACCCCCACAGCAGAATAAGTGACTCCCAGTCTCAAGTGGGAAACTTGCATTTCTGACTTGGGGAAGCCTGATTTTCTAGGCTTCAGTTGGCCCAAGAATGATCCTCTCAGGCCAGCCCCTCAGACTCTCTCAGGAAAGTCTGGCTAGCTCCTTGGTGAGCCCTTGTTCACTCAACAAATATCTTTCAAGGACCAACTCTGTGTCGGGCACTCTTCTAGAAGCTGGGAATAAAATAATGGATAAAACATACAACATCTGCCCTGACAGAACTTACAATCTAGTGATGAAGACAGACAATAATAAGATGAACCAGTAAAACATAAGAATATTTTAGGAAGAATATGCTAAGAATGAAAAATAAGAAGGTGAGGCAACATAAAGCACACGTGATTGTAGCCAAGAGTGTGGCGAGGTGGACATTTTCGATAGGGCAGCCAGGGGGGACCTCATGACTTCTGAGTGAAGATGTGAAGGAAACAAAGGAGTCAGCCCCGGGGATGTCTGCAGGGAGAGCATTCCAGGGAGAGAAAACCACAAATGCAAATTTCTGAGTCAGGAGGGACCTGGCACCTTCAAGGGCCAGCCCGGAGGCCACGTGGCTGGAGCTGAGTGTCCAGTGAGGAGGGAACTGGGAGGCTGCTTCTCCTCATTCCTGGCTGGTCACACAGCCTTGTAGGTCATGATGGCCTCGCCACAAAAGAGAGAGCAACTTCCATGAGGTTCTTATAACAACCCCTCATCAAAGGCGTCTCTCACAAAAACAGCGCGCTGCCCAACTTTGTTATCCCTGACCCTGTCATCGCATAACAAGGAGCAATCCATTACCCATACTTACTAGGCTCTATTGGAGTTCCACAGCCCGCACAGAAAAAATTCTGGGCCACCACCACCAGGTCCCTCCTGAGACAGAAAATGGTAATAGTTACATTTCAGAGAAGGTCGAGGAAATGTTTTTCACTAATTGGAAAAAAAACCTGACATCATTATACTTTTCTTGGCTTGAGGCTTTCCTTTAGTCACTTTTCGTTTGGGAAAGAAATAGGCTTATTTAACACAGTTTTCTAGTTGAAATCTCTGGGTCTTTTAAAGCTAGAACCTTTTAAAAGCTTCTGCAAAAACCAAAGCAGGAATCAGTATCACAAATAACTATTCCACCAAGGAGTTTTTAGGGACTTCTCATTGCCCACACAGAGGCCTATCTCCAGAGAGAACTGCAGACAGACACATTATGCAAAGACAGTTCAGGGAGACCAGACTCCAAAGGATAATGCATGTGGGAAGTTCACAAATGGATCCAGAGAAATTTAGACAAACAAGAGGCAACGTAAGACAAATCATCAAACGTGTCTGGTGAGATATTCCATTGGAGCATTTTCTATTGAATTGTTGTGACACTGTTTTACATGTGATTTGGAATTATGGAGAAAGTTGTAAAATTTTATTACAGTTCAGGGTCAGCAAGAATGGCCAAGGTAAAAAAATATGCTAAATTTCTGCCCATGTGCCTTAGAGAAGATTGAGGGAAACCCTAAAAGAGAGATGCCCAACACTAAGGACAGTGACTGCTCACAACGCCTAGACAGGGAGCTCTTCTGCCCAAGCAGCCCCAGAGACCTTCTTGGCATTCTCTTGTAAAGGAAAATTAAAATCACCCTGCCCCCCACAGCTCCTTATGCAAAAGGGAAGGTGAAGCCTGGAGGCTGAGTCATGCTCACCGCCTTCCAAATGAATAGCTGTTACTAACGTTAGGTATCAGCCAGATCCCCAAGGAAAGGTGAAAGGCCTCAGGTATCTACAAGGTCTGCTCCCAAGTGTATCTTCTCAGGTGCAGAACAGAGACAAGATCAAGCATTCTTCTACCTACCTAGGGAGATCTACATAATTGATTCTTCCTTTGCTCCCTTTTTCTTCAAACATTCACCTTATCCTAGGTAAAATGTAGATTTCTTGGGGCATCACAAGAATGTAACCATTTTCCTCACTACTCACCTCCCTCCTCCTTTTTCTTTCTGTATGCCCTCTCCCTCTAAATACCGATGTTCCCAAATCCATCTCCAGAAAAAATAGTCACAGGTGCATCTGTGGCTTGTTTTTCCCGAGCACATCCTCAAACTTTGGCTTAATAAACATCCGCTGATTGAGGTCTTTGCCTCAGTCACTTATTTTGGGTTGTCATTCTCAAAAGAAAGATATAGTCTATAACTGCAGTCCCCAAAACCTGGGCCATGGACTGGTACCAGTCTGTGGCCTTTTAGGAACCGGTCCACACAGCAGGAGGTAAATGGTGGGTGAGTGAGCAAAGCTTCATCTGTATTTACAGCCGCTCCCCATCACTCGCATCACTGCCTGAGCTCAGCCTCCTGTAAATCAGCAGCATTAGATTCTCATAGGAGAGAATCCTACTATAACAGTGCATGCAAGGGATCTAGGTTGCACACTCCTTATAAGAATCTAATGCCTGATGATCTGAGGTGGAGCTGAGGCGATGATGCTAGCACTGGGGAGCAGCTACAAATACAGATTATCATAAGCAGAGAGGTTTGACTGCACAATAAATGTAATGCACTTGAATCATCCCCAAACCATCCCCTCTCCACCCCTAGTCTCTGGAAAAATTGTCTTTCATGGAACCAGTCCCTGGTGCCAAAAAGGTTGGGGACTGCTGGTCTATAAGGCACCTCTATGGGGCATATTCAACAAGCCTCACCAGTCCCTTCATAACTGCAGTTTGCACACCAAATTTAATACAAACCAAGAGAAATAAAAAAAATAGTACGCTGTTAAAATTTTTTATCTATAATCTGTCATATAATCTCAGAATAAATTATAATTAAATTATTACCTAAAATGTGTATGTGGGTTTATTTCTTTTGTATGCTCTTGTTTTATCTTTTAGGACTTTTGTTACTTCTTAGAGAACAAACATTTTTATTTACATTTTACATTCTGTTGCATTTTTAACTATTGACACTCTCCTCAAGATTAAACTTTCCTTTTTCAAAATTCATTAATTTTTAGTTCACACTGTCAACTGGAAAATAGAATGGTTCCGTGTTTTAGAATTACTGTATATGATTTTTAAGTCTCAAAATTAGCCACTTTAAAAATCCCCTTTAAGCCTATTTAATTTTCAGTTGTTATGTAATATTCATAATTCGTTTGTATACTTAAATTCTCAACTTGTCGAAATTTACAGAGTCCGTAAAAGCTAAGCCAGAAAATATGCCCAACCTTCCTTTTCCTAAAACAAATTTTCCTGTGTCCCTCAGCGTGTTATTTTTTTTTTTGTTCCCCTACTTCCATAAAGAGTCAGGTGGGATCTGTCACGACTTGTTTTAGATGGAGGCTCAAGCAGCAGCCCATACTTACTTAAGTGGTGGATGGATATTAAATATGATTTGAAATCTTGGGGGCGCCCAGTCTTCAGTCCCTCTGATCCTGGACTTAAACTTAATCTCCTGTACTACGCTCATACTTGATTCAAAGTCTTCTCGGACACGCTCTTCATTGACAACCTGCATAACATATAAGAAGATTTAGGAACAATTGAAACAAGCCTATTTCAAGAACTTAAATAAAAGAACATTCAAGTGTGTTTCCAATATTAAAAATTTACCGTGAAAAATTAAAACTGCGTTCAGCTGAACTACAGGACGTGGCAAGAGCTCACCATGTCTCTAAAGCCACGTGCAGAAGAACTGCTTCTACCACCACCCAGCTGAGATCGCTTTTCTTAGTAGTTTCAGTCCGTTTGTTTCTGGACTTCAAATTTACTGTAAGTAGGTCATTTTGACCTGGAATACATTTATAAATAGCACAAGCCCATAGAAGCTGCCAATAAGCAGCACTGTTGTTGTTAATCTTCTCCGGAAAGAGCTCTATTATAAAGACCATTCCCTTGCTTTTAACTATTTTGCAGCTGCCCTCTGCACCACTGCACTTTCCTACTGTCATTTAAAGTCCAAACTTCTCAAATTAGCATTCTATGCCCCCCATAATTCAGCCACTATCATTCAAGTCTTATTTCCACGAAGATCAGCCTTCCATACACAAATACACACAGAGAGGTGTCATTGAACCACACCAAGCCCCTCCACTTCTGCTACAGCCTCCCTTTGCCAAGAACACTCTCCCCCACATCTACCTGCCACAGTTCTGGCCAGCGTAATATTTAGCTCAAGTTCTGAGATCTCCAATCAGCCTTCCCAATGAGACAAGAACTTTTATCTGAGGAATGTGAGTCTTCTGAATGATCAGGCCCGGAGAGGCATCAAAACGAGACAGCAGTCACGTCCTATTTCCTCCCTTTGAACTGTGTATTCATCTCTTGAAACTGCTTGTTATTGCCACAAGTAGCTATAAATTAACCTAATAATGCCACACTGCACTGGACACTGTAACCCACCCCTTATAGCTTAACAATGTATAGCCAATCATTAATCAACATTAATTCTACAAAGCAATGAGAATTCTTCACAAACAACTTTGTATCAGCCCACTCCCTATCCCCCTTTTATGTCTTTAAAAAGCTGCTTTGTGGCCAAGCACTGGGAGGGCATGGTGGCTCACCCCTGTAATCCCAGCACTTTGGGAGGCCGAGGCAGGAGGACTCCTTGAGGCCAGGAGTTCAAGACCAGTCTGAGCAAGAGCGAGATCTTGTCTCCACAAAAAATAGAAAAAATTAGCGAGGTGTGGTGGTCCCAGCTACTAGGGAGGCTGAGGCAGGAGGATGGGTTGAGCCCAGGAGTTTGAGATTGCAGTGAGCTATGATGATGCCACTGCACTCTAGCCTAGGTGACAGAGTGAGACCCTGTTTCAAAAAGAAAAAAACCTGCTTGCAACAAAGGCTAAATGGAACTCATGTCCTAGGTTACTTGGGTCTGAGTCTTGTGGGCAGCTGTCCTCACTTTGGTAAACTCCTTAAATTATATTTTGTGCCTCAGGCTCTTTTTTTTTAGGTCACCACTAAGTTCCATTGAAAAAAATTAAACACTTCCTTGCCCTGTACTTCAAGTGCTTTTTTCCAATTCTTATTTTAGCCTTTGTCACAAAGCTCTCTATCCCAGTGGGCTGCATGCTCTCAGAGGAAGTATGTCCTACAAGGGAACCAGCATGCACTTTCCAATCAGGCAGCCTGGGGCAGGGCTCCTGCGTTACCACTGACAGCCCTGCCAGGGGCTGGCCCATCACGTCATAAAAAACAGCAGCATCTACCTAATAGGATACTTATGAGGATTAAATTATGAATCGCTGAGCACAGTCCCTGGTACATAACAAGCCCTCAACACAAGCCAGTTTCATCATTCATTTTGAGTCTCTCCCAACACCCAGGAACCATATAAGGAAACAAATATCTCAAGCGAACAGGGCAGGCAAAATGAGAATTTAGGAACTTTTGATTCAAGTTCAATTTCTTTTGATACTTACTATTGAGCTGGCTGCATTCAGGGAACCCGCCAGCTGGTAATTAACTCCTGACAGCATCCAGCACTTGCGGAACACTCGGTACAACTCTCTGGCCAACAGCTCAGCAGAATTGAAGTCTGGCTCATAAGTGACACTGAAATGTAAGAGATGCAAAAACCAAACAACTATATTCATAAAGAGCATGTTCAGGGTCTTCCTCTGGCTTTCAACTATCCTTCCCACCCCCAAAACTCAGAGGAGGCTGTCGTAAAAGACCATGCATCAGTCACTACCAGGTATCTTACTCAACACGATTTCTCCACGCTCAATAAATCATTTATTGATTGGGAGTACTAAGACTTGGAGGTGTGGTTTAATGAGTATTACGTTTACAGCCAGAAGACTTCATTAGAGCCCTACTTCTGCTATTTAACAGCACTGCATCCTGAGGCACATCCTGTATGAGTCTCCTTTTCTATATCTGTAAAATGGAGTTTAAAAATAGACGCGCACACACATAGAACTTGCCCCGTCAGTCCATGAGGATTAAATGAGAATGTATACAAAAGTCTTTTATACACTATAAAATACTATAGAAACTTTGGGGGTAATTGTTTCATTTCTTGGTGGTAATCCCCTAGATTCATTGGAACAAATCATTGCGACTGGATGCATTTGGCTCAAAATGTCAAGGCCTAGTGTTCACAGTGCTTCGGAGGTGACATCCCAGGGGTGTATGTGTGGGCGCACACACAAGACAGATACCTCTTAGAGGAGCTGCAGGAACACCGACAGGTTTCAGTGATATCGTTAAACTCTCCAACTTCTGTGGGAAAATAAAAGAGTAATGAGATCTTTCCGTCTGATTCACTTAACCATAGCCAATTTTATAAGAAGAATATTTCAGAAACAGCCAATTATTCAGTATCTCCATGCTTTAGGTTCTTTTGAGTTTCTATTATAAACTACTGATAATAACCAAAGATAGAATTTCATCTGAAATTTGACCAAGTATAATTGAGAAAGCAAACAGATATTAGACCATAATGAATATCTGCTTTTTCATTCAATTTCTACAGGTGATATGAGAGATTAACTATCAAGACATTTGAAACAAGAACATCTTTTTTTTTTTTTTTTTTTTTTATGTCAGGGATATAATCTGTCCTTGGAAGAAGTTTCTCTGAATGCCACTATGGCGTGGTGTTGCACGTGATGCATGTTAGTATGTATGTGCAGAAGGAAGTGGGGAGGCAGCCAGTCATATCCAACAAGCTTCCAAATCTTACCTAAAATAACAAATTCATCAAAGTCACATTTGCAGGCCTCTTTCCCAGCATCCTTGCAAGTAGGTGTTTCGGCCACTGGGCTGACCTGTAACACAGCACAACCTACAAAAAGGGAAGGTTGTCACCAACAAGAAGAAAAAGAAAAACTACACAACAACCTGCAACATCCAACAAAATAGAAATTGGGAAAGGAAAAGGGCTAAAAGTTTGCTTTCAAAGAATTAAAAATTTCAGCTTCAAAATTAAAAAATGCAGGGAATAATGTTCGTGTTCTTGCATTCACTATGATGAATAAAAGGACTGATCAGTATATGGGGGTTTATAACAGTAATCGACCTACTGTTAGATATGTTTGAAAATTTCTATAATACAAACCTTAAAAAAATGAAAGGGGAGAAAATGATCTTAGCTTCATAGTGAGGCAAAGAGTATAGAAGACTTAAATATTATACCGGGTTGAATAGTTCTCCCCCAAAATTCATGTCCACTCAGAACCCGTGGGCGTGACCTTCTTTGGAAATAGGGTCTTTGCCAATGTATCAAGATGAGGTCACACTGGATGTGGGTGGCCCTACAGTAAGACTGGTGTCATAACAAGGGGAAAATTTGGATACAAAGATAGAGATGCACAAAAAGAATGCCATGTGAAGACAGAGATCCGAGTGATGTGTCTACAAGCCAAGTCATGCTACGATTGCTTCAAACTACCAGGAGCTGGGAAAGAGGCATGAAAAAGTCTCTCCCAGAGCCCCCAGAAAGAACCAAATCTCCCAACAACTTCATTTCTAACTTCTGCTAAGAGTTTAAGTCCAGCCTGGGCAATATAGCAAGACCCTGTCTCTCACTGAAAAAAAAAAATTGTAATAAATGAATAACGTGAAAACCGCGGCAACATGAAAAAATGGATATGAAATACTATTAATATAACCACACAAATCTAATCATGCTATTAATTATATAATTAGTATGAATATAATTTCATACAATTGTCATCTGAATAAACATAGGAAAGAAACACAGAGACATGAATACCGTTGTTCAGGGACATAGTCTAGCCCATAGGTCACACTGAAGTTGTGTGAATCGGCCTGTTGTTTTAAAAAACAACACTGCTCCATTCTAGCTGGGTGATTACAAGCTCCAGCTTCCATATGCTCCTGGGTGAGATGGGATGTCACCCATCTCTGTTCCTTACTCTCCTTTGGCCATGATCCACAGTAACAGACATGTGACTTAGTACAAACACAATAATATATTTAACTGATAAAAAAAACTTTCAGGAAACATTGCTCCCCCTAAGTAAGATGCACTCTAATGCTTTCTAGCCTATTTCTGTTTTTTGGGGTTTTTTTTAATGCTCTCAGGACCAACCTGTAGTTTAAAGAACACCCACCTACCTCATGGAGGAACATCAATCACCACAAATGTCACAGGAGAGATACTTAATAAAAGACAAATATTTTTATTTGGCAGGTAGAAATATTCTTAAACTTCATTTAACATACTCATGCTTTTTAGAGCTTTCGCTAAACATCAGTTTCTACCCAACCACTTAACAAATATTTATAAAATACCTATTTCAGACAAGGCACTATACTAAACACAAATACAAACAATTTCTCATCCATCCAAGAGTTTAAAATCTCACAAGGGAGTTGAGATACTGACACTTAACCACAAAAAAGCACAGCTGTGCGCCATGGGCTCTGCACCGCACGACCCCAGGAAGAGCCATGCACATAGACAGCAGTGGAGCATCCGGGGCACAACTTGTGTCTCATTCCACATGCACGATGCCCCTGCCCTGTGAAGGTTCCAGATTTGCCTCAGGGAGCATGTCACAGTGCCAGTGGCAGGAGACTGCTCTTAAAGGACCAGAAGGGTGAAGGACCTGATGTGCAGTTCCTGGGGAAACACACATTCCAGGGAAGCCTCCCCAAAGCAAGGGGATGGCGGCAGATGACGCATTCCTACCTGGTGATGCACCACACTGGGTGCTTGCCTCTGTCTACAAGTTACCCGCAAGGCTTCCCTGGCCCCTGCTACAGCGCATTTGCTCCTTGAGGGAAGGGACATATCCCTGCACTGGCTGTTCCCAGCACCGAGCATACCACAGGCTCATTGTTCGCTGAATGAATGAGAGAAGACTACTTGGAAAAGGACAGAACCTAAGAGGAGCTAGGAGAATGCTATGTGCCAGAAAACAAAGGAAGAGGAAGACATTAGCCACTTTTTTTCTTTTCATCAAAAAAGAAAAGCAGGATGAAGTCCAAGAAAATAACAAAACAGGCTCTGACAACGGGATGGAGCAGAATAACCAACCCCAAGGCAAGATGGCAGAAATGCTGAGGATCATATAGGTTACGCAAGAAGTTTTAGATAAAGGATGGAAAGACATACAGTAGGCCCCCCCTAACCGAAGGTTCAATTTCCAAAAGTTCAAGTAACTACAATCAATTGTGGTCCAAAAATATTATATGGAAAATTTCAGAAACAATTCATAAGTTGTTAATTGCACACTGTCCAAGCAACATGATAAAATCTCATGCTGTCCTGCTCTGTCCTGACCAGGACATAAATCATCCCTCGGTCCAGCATATCCATGCTGCAAATGCTGCCCATTCATGAGTCACTCAGTAGCCACTTTCCTCACCAGACTGAAAAAACATAGTGTATATAGAGTTCAGTATTACCTGACATCTCAGGCATCCACTGGGGGTCTTGGAACACATCCCCCCTTAGATAATGGGGGACTACTGTACTTTAGTATTTGACAGAAGAGAGGAGGTGTGTGGGGAACATACAACACAAAGTGTTCTCATTTTTGCCCAACTCACTTTCATAGCCACTGTCTGAAGAAGTGGCAGACCCAGATTCTTGCTTTATGTTGGTACCAAAGGTCACTTCAGAGTCAGCTGGATCAAGTCCAAGTGACCCACTGGCTTCTTCTTTACTCCAGTTCTCTGCCTGCTGTTCACTCAGAATGTTACACTTTATTTTCTCCATTGCTGATATAATCATATCTGCAACGTAGAAGTGGGCATTTTCCTGCAGAAAAAAAAAATCAATTAAAATACAAGCATAAGCAACTTTTTTTTTTCATGGAAAGTGCATCAGATTTGAAAAATCAAGCAGCTCTATTTAAGTGACATTAATGCATATACATATAAATATTCATTTAACTGAGTTATCATAGGTCACCATATGACTTATAACCCACAGAGACACAGATTTAGCTCACTATAACCAACAGACAGCTCAAGTTGAATTTCTTGTGATAGAAAGCCCTAGGCTGGTGGTAGCCCAATGGCAGACATCATTCATCAATCGTGGAAAACATTCCACCTGAGTACAGATACTGACTCAAACCCTTCGCAGCTTAGTGCTCCTGGCAGTGTCTACCAATTAAATGCTGAAATGAAACCTGTTTGCTATTCCTCATTAAGGTGAAGTTTCCAGGTTAAAATCAGAAAAGCACTATCTAAAGGATTAAGAATCTCTGCAGTTAAAAAAAAAGAAGAAGAAGAAGATAGCATTCACCTTTTCTACATCGACAGGCAGCTCTAATGCCTCTGGTGAGAAGGAATTCAAAGAAATGGGTTTTCCACTGACTTGAACAGCACCTGCCAAAATAGCAAGTTATTAAAAATGGAGAAAAGCTTAAAGATTATCTAAGAAAACACAACAATTCTAAGGAGGACTTTTAAATACTGTTTAAAAAAAAAACTAGCACAATTGTAGAATAAATTAAGATGACAGAAGAAGAAAGATCTTTCTGATGTTAAGTCTTGCAGGGACGGTCTTAATGACAACCATTTCTAGGGGAGGCTGCGGCAGTAACTGAGCAGTATCCTGCAGGGCGGGGGACACCAAAGAGGCCAAGGGGGTAGAAAGAGAGGGAGGTTCATGGGAAATACCTACAGGAGATGGGGAAGGGTGACAAGGAACAGTCCAGAAGCCGGGCCGCAGAATTTGGAGAACACGTCTCCAATTCCTTGCTCCAAGTCATTGCAGCTGATCCCACTGCAATTGACTTCCTGCCTTCAGAAACAAAATCCATCTGACACAGGTCAGCATAGCTTCCCTAAAACAGTCTTCCTCCAGTCAAAGCCAAGAAGAAACTGCACAAGGGACATGCTGCAGCCTGATCCATCCCTGCACCCTTAGCCACTCCATTACCGGCAGTGCCCACCATCAAAACAAACATCGTCTCTATCATGTGCTTTCTTATTGCAGCATTTAAAGGAAAAAAAAAACAAAAAAGTCCATGAATGCCATAGGAGCTGAGTTGTCCAAATCTGCTAAATTAGAACAAAATGCTGCCAGTGTCCTGGTAGTTACATAGCTGTCAGGGCGACAGAGTTGCAAGCAGGGTCACTCAAATCCCTTGCTTCTTGTTCAAGAGAGTGGTGGTTACATGGAAAACTTCAAACTGCTTAGCATCAGAAGCCATCTGAGTTGGCAAATTTTTTCCTGTAAAGGACTAGGTAGTAAATATTGGAGGATTTGAGGACCATACAGTTATCTGTTGCAACTACCCTATTCTGCCACCGTCATGACCTACAGACAAAACAGAATTTTATTTATAAAAACAGGAAGCTGGCAGGAGCTGGCCGGCAGGTCATAGTTTGCAGACCCTGAGTACAGAGGAAAAAGCACAGAGAAGAATCCGACAGAGTGGATTCCAGTTCCAGCTCTGGCGTTCACCAGCTGGGCCCTTGTCAAAATCTTCTCAGCCTTTAAATTGGGATAATTACCTCTTAGGACATTAAGGAGATAAGGAATGTGAAAGTGCTTTGTAAATGTGTAGATCCTACAGAAAACAAAAGGAACTCTGGAATTTTTTCCTATAGCCTGAGGAAAGGCTTGCAGACTCAGGTGGTCTTTCTCCTGCTATTTTTTAGAAAAGGAAAATTTTAGTGCCATTTGAGATGCAGCAGTCATAGAAAAATCCATGTCTTAGTGGCCAGTGCCTATTTGCCCCATCGCTGCCCCCACATCAAAGAACGAACAAACCAGATCATTCGGGACTTTCTTTCTTAATCCTATGGAATGAATCCCCCTATCAAGTTTAGGAGATATTTTCAAAACACTGAGTGCGTTTTAAAGGCACCAAGAAGAACGGCTGGGAGTCCTTGTCTTTGGACAGAAGGGGCTAGGGTGCCTGTTTTCTTTCTGAAGAAAAAGACAAAGCTATGGGATAATTTTAAATTGTATCACTGTACTTGATACAAAAAAAGATTTCAGGCAGGTGAACTAGACCCCAAAGATCACCTTCAGTTTATAACTTGTCACTGTGGTGGTCTGTCAGGAAGACGGCTCTCCTCTAGGGAGGATCTAGTAGGAGACTAATCTCTTACTTAGCTACCACTAAATTTGCAAGTCACTCTCTATCCTGAAAGCTAAAAAATAGAAAAAAATGTCTGTAATCAGTCCTGTCAGTTTGCTCAAATTTGGTTATTTTGAAATTAGCCATTGAAAGACTGTCCAAAATCTGCTATTCTTAAGCTATGAATAATGTATAAAAGGTTGTCATCACCTACGATTTCTCAAACATTTCCAATAGAATAAACCCCATATTTTAGGTAAGTGGGAAGATGAGTTCCTGCTAGTGAGAAATAAATACATACATAAATAGACATATAGACAAACAGGTAGGCAGCTTTTTAAATCATTTTGAAAAAAACTCCATTGATTATTTGGACCAGGGTTCTAACAGAAATACAAATCAATAATGACAAGTATTAATATAACATAACGAATATTTTAAAATAAACATGCCACAATTATAACAACAATGGCTAGTTTATTGACCCTTGAGTGGCACTCTTGCATGGCTTATCTCATTTTAGGAATTTTAGTATTTTAGGAGTATGTACATTATCTCATATCAATGAGAGCCTTTGTTTTAATAAAAAGAGGTTTTTTATAGTCTTGGAGGGGAACTGTAATCATTATTTTTAAATCTTACTATTTCTCCACCACACTCTGCACAGGTAAATATAACAGGTGAAGCAAGTTCATCACCTACAGAAGTACTGGCATGAAACAGAGCCCTCTCTGTCTGTCTGGAAACACCTTCCCCCACCCACACTGAGTTGAGAATGCTTCTGATGCTCTTTCTTGCAGACAGTTTAATGAGCTGTAATTTCCTGAAGGCAGACACCAACTCAAAGCTGGCACATGGCATTGATTATTAACTATGTTGAGCTAAAAAAAAATGACATTTCCCTCCAGTCTAAGGAGAAAGCAAATACTTGATTTCACCTGTTGTGACCACGCAGGTGGCTAGCCTGATGACAGTATTAAATGAGCTAATGCACTGGCTTCTGGTTAAAGTGGACACCCACGAACTTTTCTGTCATGGGAAGTCAAGAAGGCAGGCTTTAGGCCAAGGCAAAGCAAGCGCATGAACAGATAGGAACAAGGGAAGTCACCGACTGAAGTTACCTTCATCAGCAGAAGCTGTCAGGTGGGAAGGGTTGAAAAAAGCACTGTCAACCTCAGGATACGGGAACGTGGCCAAAATCTTAGAGCTTTTGAGCAGAGATGCGAGATGAGAGAGCCCTGGGAGCACCACCCATTCTTCAGTGGAGGTCAAAGACAAGTCACTCTTTTCACTTAAGCCCTGGGCAAAGGCACTGCCAGCGGAGTCTGCAGTATCCTCAGACAATGATGTCTCTGCCAGGGAGTCACCAAGGGACAGGGGTGAAGGGCTCAAGGGAGAGGCAGTATCTGCTGCAAAGTGGTTCCTGATGGTCCCCACTGCTGGCACCTGGGGTGGCAAATCCTGCAGCTCTTGCTGCACACACTGAGGGTTAATCCAGGCAGCTTTGTGCCTTGTGAGCCTGACGTCTAGTTGGCAAGGGGGCTGGTCAGGCCCCAGGAGCCTGGGAGAACCGTGAATGTTGCTAGAGTCATCGCCGATGCCTTCCCAGAGGTCCACGGGAGAATCCTGTTGGCTGGTAGATTGTGACACCATCTCTCCAGGCTTGAAGCTGCTTCAGATTTGTTCAAAACAGATAGAAGGAGCTCTCAGGATGGCTGCTGTACTACCTGATCGGGGCCTTGACCTCACCACATGGCCAGCTGGGGGTCTGGAGAGCTTCTCTGCAATGAATCAGCAAGAATCATTCAAAATAAATAAGTGTTCAATCAGAGTTTGATTCCAAATTATTTAACGGAGGCAAAAAACAAAAAAATTAAAAAGTTTGTACTTGGCTCTATCCAACACAGTAAATTCCACTTGGATTTATAAGTTAAAAAAAACATCAGCCATAAAACTAGCAGCTTGACATTGGG